TTTTTTTGGGGGGGGGGAAGAGTACTTTACATGAAGCTCCTGGCGCATTCACCTCTGGTACTCCAACGTTTTTGAATACATTTTTTTGTTGGACAGTGTGAAGAACGTTTGAGAGAATGGTGCAGGTCTCATGTTCGTTGAAAAACACTGATTTTTCCAAACGTTTTAAAAAACTGAAGTTCAAACTATTTTTAGGATTCTTCCTACAACTAAAACATTAAAAATAGAGAGTTTTCCCTTAATGAAATATATTCCTTAAAGATAGAATTTGAAATGAGGTCATGTACATTTTTTCTAAAATTTAAGTACGTTTCACGTAATTTTGCGTAAAATTACGGATGAGAAAATACGTGCTCTTTTAGCGCCACTAGTTCTTGGCGAAGGAAAGACAGGTGACAACACTGCCAGGAGTTTCGTAGCGACGAGCTAAAGTTGTTCATCCTTCCGATTACACGTTACAGTACATCTCTACCAATTAATGAACCAAAGTATCCTCTCCTATGCTTCTCCTCTATGGGCTCTCCTGAATCAACAGCTGTTCTGATGACGTAATCTACTGTTGTTGTCTCGTACCTTTGACGAGTCTCAGCTGTTAAGAACAAAAATATTCGTGTACAGAGAGAAGCTCGTGATTGCGTAAGTGCTTTTCGCGTTATCAGCTCCCCGTAGATAGGATGATGTTCAATGTGTGCCCTTGCCCAGCAAAGTAAAGTTGTGGGTGATCGTAGCTCTTTTGATTTGTATTGTTTAAGTTATTAACTTTTTAAAAGTTATTTGCTATAAGAAAGAAAACCAAAAGAGAAGTTCGTAAGGGAATTAAGTCTTCTAATTAATAAAAAGTAATTAACATTATTCAGAGATATCTGAACCGAAAAAGATAGATCGGTTTAATAGTTTATATCCATAGGTGTACCGTATTCTCAAATATGTAATATTTTGGGAAAGAAAAAATAAAATAAAGAAACATTAAATACAATTTATCAATGACAATACGAATTAACCATAGCATTACAAAAGGGAGAGGCATCAGAGGCCCAGCGATGGTTATTTGCTTTTAAGGGTTTCAATATTTTTAGAAGTCTGATACTCACTGATACGGTTTCTAATTCGCCTTTTCTTTTGTAAACACGTTATTCACCTCAGCAAAAGTGTTTGAAATGATTTGAGTTATTTTAGCGGCTTTGGCTGTGAGGAAAACATTCGGAACTATTTAAACTATGTAAATAAAACGTTCGTCTACATGGTGGAACATTTTAAGATTTAGTATATTATAGTTTAATACATTACTATGTTGATAACTACTATGCTATATTGATATGATGATAAATAGAACTTTTGAACATAAAAATCGTTTTGACATTAAATACAAATATGAATGCAACAAGTTTTTCATTTGCAAAGGATCTGAATGTTTTATGTGTATGTTCACTATAGTATATCACTGTGATAATTAATGAAAATCGTCATAAACTGCAATAAACTTTTTTAAAAATGTTGATGATGTGTTGCGGAGGGCTCTACCCCATTAGTAAAGTATGGAACCATTTGTACTTTATTGCTGGTGTTAATATATTGCTAGAGTTAATAGATTTTGGGAATTCAGTCATATATTTTTTCCTTTTCTGTCTTCTTTCTATCTTATTTTGGTAAATTTTAGTTTATATTTTCAGTAAAAATGTTTGAAATTATCTTGAAACGCAACCGTAAGAAGTTTAAAGGAATCTCTTATTCTATACTGTGTTGATTCTCATTTTGTCTGGTCTCGTCCGAAAGTTCACAGTTAATTTGATATTTCATTAGCTGTTCCGGAATTTGTGAGCCTTATCGTTGGTCATTTCCATTGATCCATAGCCCCGGATAATTGAAGGCTGATGATGCAATTGCACAATGAATGAAAATCCATACAAAGTTGGGCTTTGCAATAGATACTCAATCTTTTTAGTATATCTATTCTTCTATCTCCCTACAATGTGCTAGAGGAAGTCCAAAGTCCACAGTTTTACGACGATTTATAGGATTCCATTGACACAATGTCCCGCAAATGTATTACTGATTAATAAGGGAAATTTTCCTTCTAGAAGTGCACGAAATGCATTTAAGGAGACAAATGTTGCATTTTTTGAGAATGATAGGAATAAATCAGCAACTGCAATCAGCAGTACACGTAAACATCGCCACGAAGTCAGAAACGTGATGTCATACGCCCTTAAAAACAGATTTCTCATGACCCTGAGAATATCCAAGTAGTTTTCAATTTGTAACTTGCTATTACAGTTTTGATGGTTAAGTTTTTCTGGATATCCAACTCCAGAAGCACGGGTGATCGGAGACACTAAGAACTCGAAATTTAGGTAAAACTGGTTATTGAAATAACAACAGAAATAGTCAGAGTAACAGAGTAATAGGAAGGGTAACAGTAACAGTAAAGATATTAAAACAGAAACAATCTTCTACAATGAAATACGTAATTTACATTGCATTCAAATGTTACTTTCCTGCAAACATGTTTCGAGGAATTTTCCATCATCTTCAGTGTTTCCCAACATCGTACTAAACATGGGTATTACACCTCGCCTGTGCCATTTTGTGCTCTGGGCAAAAAAAGCCTTCTGAAAGAGACTTCTGAAACCCCTTCGCGTTCCAGTTTTAACTTTAATCCAGGGCCTATTATAAACGTGTATGATTCCTACGTCTCTTTGTGAGACCTGCATCCACAAATACAAGTAATAGCCCAAGAGCTGAGGAAGGTAGTATAACTTCACCCTGTTGGTGTTCCCCGCAGGAGGGTATACACCCTGAATCGCCCGCCCGGGGACACGATGATCGGCAGCCAGGTGGCGCGCGTGGTGGCGTCGAAGGCGGCCGGCTGGGCCGTGAGCGAGCGCTTCGTGGCGGACTTGGGCTGGCGGACGCACACCGTCTTCCACCCGGACGCCGTCGAGAAGACGTCCTTCCTGCCCATGTTCAAGCTGCCCGACCTCGGCGACCTCCCTGCCTCGCTGGGGCTCGGCATCCTCGGCATGCCGGGGTACACGGCGTACTTCGGCTTTTTGGAGATATGCCGCCCCAAGGAAGGGGAAACGGTACGTACAATGCAAAACTGATATTAAAAAGGCTGTTGTCGACATTTTCTTGAATAATTTTTTGCAAAAACGATCCATGTTTCAGCGACAGTGGAATAATACATGGCTGAAGTTTCTTGGAAAATGATTTATATTTTGTAGATGTTGCTATATTATGCTTGGTGTACTATCTCCAGGCATTGTTTCCTCAAAAAGGCTTTAAGTGCCGTTTCTCAAATAAACTGCCAGTGCGTCCTGCCTTCATGTTGTTATTTTTAACTTGCTTTATAACTACAAGGTCATATAGGGACCACATTGATTGTTTATATTGGGGTAACTACAGGGGGGAACACGACACGAAAGAACAACACGAGCACACACAAACATCCATGCACGAGGTGGGTACTATTTCAACTATCGCGCAGAAGTTCTAATGAAGGAATGATATACGAGGTTGCCGACATTTGCTTTAGCTCACTTCGAATACGTATTCAATTCTGCATACGGAGTTTTAAGTGATCTTATCTAGGAAAAGTAAACATTTGCGACAGTTAAATGTCATCCTCTAATTCTAATGGTAATTCTAATTGTTAATGTTTGTAATAGTTTTGTAATTGTTCTAATTCTAATTGTAGTCATGTTTGCCACCGAGCATTTGCTCAAAGCAAACTTTAATAAATCTCTCTATATATTATCCAAATTCTTATATTTTTGAACTTTAAATTTGTCTACAGACATTGTGATATATTCAGTATCTTATTTTGCGTTATCTCAAGTATGCTCAAGATGTTTAAAGATATCAAAAAAGCTCTGTAAATTAAGGAATTTGGTAGCAAACCTAATACTCGGTTAACAGACCGTAGGGTAAAACATGGGGTCCTAGGGTAGGAAAGATATGTATTTGTAGCCCAATCATTTATATTTTATACACGATATTCATTTGAAATTGATCGGAGATAAACCAGAAAGCAATTAATCTAATCTGTAGTCTCCTCAAATTCTCACCCACACAGACCTTTCGTTCGTGATCTGTAACTAAAATTTATTATAATATTTATTTATTTACTTATTTATTTACAGGTAGTTGTGAGTGGTGCAGCAGGAGCAGTAGGTTCCACAGTGGGCCAAATCGCTAAAATCAAGGGCTGCCGCGTCGTCGGATTCGCTGGATCCGACGACAAGGTGAAATGGCTGAAAGAAGAATTGGGTTTTGATGCCGCTTACAACTACAAAACTAAAGACGTCGCCGAGGCTCTCAACGAAGGTGCTCCGAAAGGTGTCGACTGCTACTTCGACAACGTCGGTGGTGAACTCAGCAGCAGTGTAATTTACAAGATGAACTTGAACGGTCGAATTGCAGTTTGCGGCACAATCTCTACGAACAACGCTGATCCAAAGAATTTGCCAAAGGCCACCGTCATTCAACGTCCCATTATTGCCAATCATCTTAAAATTGAAGGATTCACCGTTGCTCAATGGAGAAGTAGGTGGATGGATGGCACGAAGCAGAATTTGCAGTGGGTTCGTGAAGGGAAACTCAAGTATACGGAAACAGTCACAGATGGTTTTGAAAACATGCCCTCTGCCTTCATTGGATTGCTTAAAGGACAGAATACTGGAAAAGCTATTGTCAAAGTTTGAGATATTTTTGTTCTGTCTTCACATATGCTAACCCTTTTTAACAAATGACATTATTTCTAGTGATTTCCAAGACCTCTAGAATGCTCGAAACGCCCGAATGCCCACCCAATAATTTCCAAAAATAGTTCACCATAATAATATTAATTATAATATTAGTAATTTTCATCCCAAATGGATAAAATGCTCCCCTTGAGTGATGGAAGAGTCTTCTTTAAGCAAAAATTATATGTACGACCCCTGTGCTGTTAAAGGAAAAAATGCTTTAAAATTAAAATATCATGAAGTTCAACTCTCTGTTTAGTTGAAGTTTATTTCATAAAATTCATTAAATGTTATATGGAACTTCAAAGAAATAATAAAGTATGTAAAAATAATTGTAACGTTAACTTCCGATAAAACGAAACCAAAACATTCAAATAGAGTGATTTCATTTCAAATGTATGATATTTTTACCTGTTGTTAGGCATCATTGGCATTCATGTCCCATTGTGTTCCACGTATGACACGCGTATTGCCTCCTCGACTAAAATACAATTCGGCAGCTGAATAACAATTCCAACAGCTGATACATTCTGATGCAGGTTTTAATTGACTCCAAAACGTTTACGATCCACATTTAAACTTCCGAACATCTCTCATTATGTCTCGTATATGCTCAATTTAGTTCACTTTTTTATCTCAGAGTTCAAAGTTTTCTAAGAAACAGAAGTCAGTCGTGATTGTTTTCTTTTCAGACATTCGTTAAGCACATTAAGATAATGATGCAGATTTTGATAATACTACCACCTACATGAAATCAACTAAGCTTCCGATAACCTTTTATGCATTAGCGTTAAAATTCATTGCAACACTTTTTAAAATGGAAAGTGAGCAGTAACTGACAGAATAGTTTTTATACTTCTTGAGTAAACGTATTAAAATATTTTGTTTCAAAACATTCTGTTGTATATAATTAATGTGTAAATTAAAATGTTGAGAATATTTTGTTTTCATTTTAACAAGAAAATGTTTGTCTTCGAAAACAGGTATTGATGAATTATTATTGTATTCACTGTAAAGAAACATCACGGTTAGTGTTTTCGTACCCAAACTCATGTGAATGTGAAACTCCTTCTAGTTGGTCGATTTTTAATAAAAATTAACAATCAAAATAAAATGCATTTTTATTAACTGATTGTACACCTTGAAATAATTTTTCGCCCTGCTTGAATACGTATTATAATAATGAATTTGAACCTATTAATTGTGGCGGTTGTTAGAAAAAAAGCCTTTGAATGTTGACCCTACTGGCAGTTTTCACAAACTAGGCTTTTTTACAGAATTTTTTTCGAAGAAAGCTTCTTCGGTCTTGATTTTGATGTATATTTCGTCCGTCATTTATATCACACAAGTTCGCGAAAAACTACTACATTAAAAATGAATGTTGAAAAAATTAATAATCCTGTTTTATTGAGTTTTATATTCACAATAACATTCCGGTTATTTTATAGCGAAAAAAACATTATTGCTTCATTTTTTGGGAAGCATTCGATTTTAGTTCATCAGCCGTTAGTATTAGAATATTAACTTCTGAGCAAAATCTGTCGTGAATTCAAGTTTCTTTAAAATCTGTTATTAATTCTTATTTTATTTTCAGTTTATCAAATGTTATAGAATTTGAATTTATCTTACAACTATCAAAAACAATATCGCTTAAGCCACGAGATCACTTTCAACCAGTGCAATCCTTCGCAATAATATTTCATCCTCAAGAAAATTATTTTAATAGCTAATATACTTGGCATGAACTGAATTCTGCATAATTTTCAATGTTAGAAAGCATTATAGATCATAAAGGTTTAAATGTGAGTGATAAAATTGGTATTACTACAGTTTTACGTAATCAATAGAGTGAATTTACCTGAAATCATCATGACACCAATATTTTTACAATATCAAAAGATTTTTGTGTGTTTCGAAATCTTTTGTTTTTTGTATTATTGCTTCAAATGTCAAGTGTCAAGTGCAAGGCCTAGTGTGTATTAACCTAATATATGCATTAAATTATAAGAATATTATTTTTTATTTGTAATATTATTAATATGTTGTTAAACATGATTCACAGATACACAGCATTGGATATTGCTTTAAAGAATCAAACTTTTCAAAATTCAAGATTAATTCCCAAATAAAAATACATATCTAATTTCAGACATTCTTTTTCATTTAGAATTCACTTTACTTTGAACAAGGTTCAGGATAACTGAAGGCGAAACAGATGAAATGATATATCCCATCCATTACACACAGCATTTTGTTTTACTTTTTTTGTAATAAATTTGATAAATGCACTTAGAACGTTACTAACAAAACATGCTCTTCAATTGTAGCAATTAAATATGTAATTTATAAAACCTTCGTACTGAAAAATTTTTTTGTTATTGATATGTAATTATGAATAGAAGCTATCTTCTCACAGGCAATGAAGTTTTGAAATATTCCAGAGAGCAATTTCAACAGAACAGGGGCATAATAAACCCATTCTATACATATAATGTGACATTAATAGCACAGGCACAATTCATCCTTACTTCCCAATGTACTTCTAACCTTCATATAAACTTCAAAATATGCAGTGGAGTAGTTATTCAATTCGTTGCCCTTGTAGAAAGAACAATGGATTTCCTTCTGTGGTAGGTGTCAAGAGGTCTAGATTATATGCATTTCAAATGAAGCAAATGGCCACTTCGACATCGTGGCAAACAGACGGCGAATTATTCTTATCCAAAACGTATGCAATAAACTCCAAGTGACAGAAGAACAAGTTTGCCAACTATTTTTGAATTAAAGAAACTCTGTGAGGGTAGTGCCTTATAACTCATATACTTTTCTTGCAAATGAGGATTTTTAATGCAATAATATGAAGTAGTAATTCATGCTTTGGAATCGATATTCGAGGATTCAGGTGAAAATTATTACACAAAACATTTGACCATACATATTTATGTAATATAAGCATTAATAAATAGATTGCACAATGACATTTATACAAAAATATGTTTTATTGAAAAATTAAATTTACATAATATTAAATAAATATTGCATTAGTACTCGTATAATTGAAAAGCACCACGAGTAATGCAAATTAACAACTAGACACAAAATTAAAACTCTGTGCATGACTTGTCAGTGCTTCGCATTTCGCAATTCCCCCCATTCCCATTTTTGGAAAACACAAGTGCAAAATTATATTATTACCGTTCTGGCGTCATGAATTATTGAACTAAATGTTAAAGATAGCAGATAAGCGAACTTTTTCGAGGCTGTCAGCACGTGAAATTAAAATTATGCGAACAATATGTACAGATAACTTAATGAATTACATTTACGAAAAGAGTTTATAAATATTATGGATGGTGAATGATACGGGAAAATGAATATGATCACAGTTTCGAGTCCTGGCGTCAGATCTGCACCACGGCCTTGCCAATGTTATCGCCGCGCAGCATTCCTATGAACGCCTTGGGCGCGTTCTCAAACCCTTCCGTGATGGTCTCCTCGGACACGATCTTGCCCTCGTTGATCCAGCGCATGTTCTCCTGGATGGCCTGCAGCCACCGGGACGCGTGGTTCCACACGATGAAGCCTTGCACCTTGAGCTCCTTGGAGAGGATGTACGGCTGCACCATGGGCACGAGCACGTTCTCGAAGCCGGCGTTGTAGCCGGCGATGGCTCCGCAAACGCACACCCGGCCCTTGGTGTTCATGCGGCGGAACACCTCGTTGCTGAAGGCGCCGCCCACGTTGTCGAAGAAGCAGTCCACCCCCTTGGGCGCGGCTTCCCGGAGGGCGTCCGAAATCTTGGTCGTCTTGTAGTTGTAGGCGGCGTCGAAGCGCAGCTTCTCCTTCAGCCACTTCACTTTCGCGTCGGATCCGGCGAATCCGATGACGCGGCAGCCAACGATTTTGGCGATCTGTCCCACGATGGACCCCACCGCGCCGGCGGCGCCGTTCACCACCACCGTCTCGCCCGGCTGCGGCTCGCACACCTCCAGGAAGCCGAAGTTGGCGGTGATGCCCGGCATCCCCAGCACGCCCAGGCCCAGCGACAAGGGAAGGTCGCCGAAGTCCGGCAGCAGGTACGGCTTCGGGTAGATGGACTTGTTCTCCTCCCGGGTGTTGTAAATGGTCCTCGTGCGCCAGCCGAAGTACGCGGCCACGTACCGCCCTTTCGGGAACTCCGGGTCTCTGCTCTCGGCGATTCGCGCCACGACTCCGCCGGGCATCACCGTTCCTTCCATCTGGAAATCGGTGTACTTCCTCATGTACGGGTCCACGCTCAGCCACAGCGACTCGCACAGGATTTCGCCTTCCTCCAGTTTGGGCAGCTCCTCTTCGACGAGCTTGAAGTCGGTCAGCTTCGGCTCGCCGATGAAATGCTTCGCCAAGATGTACTTCTTGGACTTCACCATGGTGACGTGGACTGCGGTTGACAGATGCGGAGACAAGTTACGACGGCCGCTGCAATGCGATGACTGAGCCACTTGCGGCGCTCGCGATGTTTTATAGTGGGTGACGCGATAAACGATGATAACGAGGTGCCGCTTGGGGGCACGCGCGGGACAGTGGTTCATTCCGCTCATCTAGACGATCAAAGGCCAGCGCTATTGACACGCATTATAAGCCTCGCAACAAGGCAATCAAGATAAAATAAATTACGAGTGAGATTTTTCACCTTAGGACAAGCAATAGCATATAATAGTAATAATAATAATAACAACAAAAACAACAATAATAATAATAATATAGCCGAGATCGCTAAGACTACACTGCCGTGGCGATCTCGGACAGAAGGATCGCGGGTTCCAGTCCCACCTCGAGCATGTGTGTGTTTGTGTATGTCTGTATGTTTGTGTCGTCCATTTATCCTTTATTATCTTCATCATCATGACGTATTCTATCCCCTTAGGTCTAGCAACGCTGGGGGATATAAATTGGATTCAGCATAGGAATGTTGATACCCTCCAAAAAAGAGTCACATTTGTCACGGGAATAATGCAACTGGGCCTCGGTAAGCGCAGGTGTATGTCCGCGTGGTCCCAGGTGATCAATTAACGACCCCCCCCAGGAAACAAACAAACAAACAAACAAACAAAAACCTTCAGAACCCATGAAGAATATTGCATACCATTCGGTGCCTGGCAATATAAACGTATTTTCGTGAACATTCTCTAATCTTTACGAAGATGAAATCAAAATCGCTTTAGGTATTACATGTACTCAATCAATCTTGAAATTCTCTTCACCATATACATCGTTTCAATAACCTCCAATAATTTTTCTTTTACTTCAGTTGTTATTCGGGTGTCATTAATTGCAATTGTTTCACAACCGTGATGAGGCAACACATTAATATTCTTCCATAAATGCAGATAAAGAAGAGCAGAATGTACACTTTCACTCATGACTTTTCAGTCTAAAAAATGATATTTCATTTTTTAGACTTAATATCAGCCTACTTAATTTTTACATTAGTGCTTTCCTTATTTTAATAGGATCAATGTTTCACAAATTAATAGTATGGAATTAATGTTGTAAAGAATATGGGATTACGCGAGGCTTCAATTTAATTAGCCAATATAGTAGACCACCAAGAGAACAGAAAATGTGGTCATCGGAACAAATATAAACTAAGGAGGAAAGAGGTAACTTCCAAACGCGAAAAGCTGGAAGTAATCATAACAAATGTCATAACTGAGTCATCAGTCACCCTTTATGAACATGATAATCCATTGCCATCCTTCCCACCATTACTATTTATAAAAAATTAAAATGTCGGAAAGGCATAACAATGGGAAGAAATAAGCAAAGTAAATGCAAAAACTGTATGTCGATATCACCGAAACCTACAAAATCACACTAGAAGTCTCATAGGCAACTTTAAGTTCAAAAACCGTACCTTGGATTAAAAAGTTTCCTAAGAAAATTAATATATTGAGAGGAACATTTTTTTCTACTGATATATTGTGATTCTAAAAGTGTAATACTTCCCCATTATGAAAGAAAGGTAATTTGGTTCAATCATTAAATAACATTAATATCATTTTCAAATATTGAAGAAGTAACTGCAT